AGGAAAGATTGTGCAATGATTGCACTGAATTGCACCAAACGGCGGGTGAACTGCGCCGGATTGCAACGAACTGCGGCTGATTGCACTGAACTGCGGGAAAACTGCACCGAACTTCTCTGAATACAGTGGATTGCAAAAATCACGGCGGATTGCAGGCGGACTGCGTCTGGATTTCATAGACCATGCACATGATTTCAGGAGTAAGATATAGACTCTAACGTAGCACATATAATTACCTATATACGTTTAGGAGCTGCAGAACAAACTGCTCAACAGCAACAGAAACGTCTGTTCGATTTAAAACGTAAGGTACCTGCATTCTACAAGGTAGGTCAACAGGTACTGTTACGAAAAATTATTGCAACCAACGATGACAAAAGTAAAAAGACTTTGCCTAAATACGCCGGTCCTTACGTTGTACCAATGTGTTGCCACACGATTTGTATGCCATAGAAGACTTACTTGGGGCGCAAAAGACGTAAAAGGGGTTGTTTCAGTTGATAAGCTAAAGCTGTTTCATCCTACTTTGCCAGACGATGGCGACTGTAGTTCTTCTAACGGTGAATATAATCAAAATTAATCGTATACGTATGTTAACGAATCACCAAAGTGGTGGTAAAGAGAGAAGTTGCTAAACGTTAGCCATTTATCGAATTTAACTTTAATTTCATTTATTTAGGAACGCAATGGTCTACGAGGACGTAGAACTGGGAAGCATGGCTGAGCTGTAAGCAATATGAATGCTGGAGGACGGCGTGATGTTATCGGCGGCTCCGGTGTTCTTGCTGATGCAGCAACAGTGGTCCGGCTGTCTGTACCGTGGTAAACGATGTATTTACGCGTCCGAGGAAAGGATGGGGGATGGGCACAACGAACGTATTGTAGAGCAGTTGAAGTCATCGTTCATTTATGAACTGTTTTAGTTTTGTGATTTTCTTATTCTTCATTCTTTTAATAAAATACTTATGATAGTTTAGATAGGTTTCTTTTTTTCTACAGTTTTCTAGCTTTCTTAGCTTTCATACCTTCCCTTGCTTTATCCTCATCGATACATATAGGAATATTGCGTTGGATATAATTATCAATAATGTTTATGCTCTTCACAAGGGGATTGTAGTAAGGTCATTCTGGGAGAGATGCCCTACTTAACGTAAAAATTGAAACATAGACACAAAATATTTTTTTTTATTCTGAAAAAATACGTATCATCTTTAACATAAAGTAAACAAGCAAAATCTGACAATAAACATAAATGTTGTTCACAAATTGGTAAAAAAAATAAAACTTGCAACTCTGCATATGGCCATCTCACCCGTAATTTCCGGGTGAGTTGCTCCACCAAAACGGGAGAGATGCCCTGCTCCTAAAACTTGTCTTTCAACCTGGTTTACGTTGTCAACTCCGCTTCTCCACACGCACACCTGTTACATTTATCTTCATGTGCCGTGCATGTTTCGTGAAGCCATCCTGTGCATTTTATGCACTGTATCCAGTCAACGTTTATTTTGGTTTGAAATAGTTCTCTAGGCATTCTACACAATGATCCTTGTTTTGTTTAGTCTTCTTACATGTTGTATGCGATTTCTTATTGTTCCCTTCATCCAGTTCAGTTTCAGTTTTTGGCAGTTGTAGTTAAACATTCTTCTGAAGATGAATCGTCGGTGTTTTGCTGAGATCGAATCTGATTCTTTGTTTTTCCGTCCGTTCTTGAATTTGTGGGCGTGTTTGTCACTATGGTCAGCGGGATCATGTGTCACAGTTTTTGCCAAAACTTCCGTAGATTGTTTCTTTCGTCGCTTCAGTTGTTTTTGAAGCACCGGTACTGGACTTATCTCTGTCAAACATTTCGAAAGTGTCTTCTCTACTGCATTGTTGGCGTTGGTTGTAATTCTTGACGGTCCGTGAACAGGTGACTACCGTGGCCGCATTTCTTCCGCGGCTTTCAGATGTTGCAGTTGGTAAGTGTGCATTTACATCGGAAATAGCGTAGAAATGATCGGGAATCACTGCTGGATCCAGCGGAAATATTCCCGTCGCTCTAAAACCAGATAAAGCAATTTCGACCGACGCTGCTTTGCCCCAGGCTTTCCCGATGAGCTCCCCTGCTTGAAGACAACCAATCTTGCGTCCCGGATGGTGTATCATCCACTGCCGTGCTTCCTTCTTTAGATTATGCTTCAGCGACCTAAAAAATGATCTGTCTAAAAGCTGGAGCGCCTGGGTGGTGTGACTTGGTAAACAAATCAAAATAACGTCGTTTTCTTCGGCATACTGCAGCATCTCAAAACAATTCCGGTGGGACGAATGCCCATCCAGAATTAAAATTGTTTTTCCTGGCGGTTTTCTTGGTATGAAATGATCCTTCAGCCATTTAAAGAACAGCTCACACGTGATGTATGAAGATTTTGAGTTCATAAAAACTTTTGCACCGGCAGGTAAACCGTCACCAAACTCCTTTTTCTCACGCACTCCTTTAAATATTTATAACGGGTGAAAGAAATCTTCCTTCAGCGCTACAACATGCTACTATGGACACATTTTCACCTCTTTCGGTATCTTATAGTATGTACATCTTTAGCCCCTTTGGTAGTTTACACAGGACCAGCTTCATTATTCAACTGAAAACCCGTTGCGTCCATATTGAAAATATTTTCCGAGCGGTCAAAAAAGTTGAATTCAAATTATAAACGACAGAGAGCAAAGTGAAAAATGCATTAGCTTCTTTCTACTCATTCCTTCACTTCGGGCAAGTGATAATCCCTGGGACTGCCTAATGCTTAACTCCTTGTTTCTCCTTAAGAAAGAAGACAACCAGTCGTAACCTGCCATTCGAGCTTCACGATTGAAGCGGTGCTTAATTCCTAACTTTTATGGTTCAGTGGTAGAGCGTTGGACTATAAATCCGGAGGTCGGGTGTTCGAACCTGGGTTGTGGTAAATTTTTCATCTGTGGCAGAGATGGGAATTACCTTAGACCAGTTTCGAGCATTCTGCCAGCTACTCCGAATTAGGTTTTCTTGCAGTTTTCCTAATTCGTAAGGTAAATACCGGAGTAGTATAAAACAACTTATAACCTTCTGCAGAGGCACCTCTAAAACGCATTATGCGGATCATTCTGTAATTGGGCGCAAGCCTGTTGAGGGCCCAGAACGAGAGAGGGATAATAATAAATAAATAGGCAAACAAAGGGACTATTAGATATTACAGCAGAATCTGAAAGTGGGTACTTCATCGTTAGATTGATGAAACTATTCGGGTTTTCACTTTTCTTCAACTTTTATTAAAATAAACACGAAAAGTATGACGTAACTATGAGGCGCCGTTTGTGCCATAAATATATTTATAAAAATAATGGAAACATGCAAAAATGAAAGCAATATATAATATAAAAATCACTAAAATATTAAAATATATCACACAGTTCACATTATATATCAATGCCGAAAAGAAATCATTATCATTTCACGTGTGCCAAAATGCAATGTTGGTTGCGGACAACAAATCGGTGAGGCGCTATTGGATGAAATATAGAGAGCAGTAACAGCTTTTCAAAAATTCAAATTCGCTTGTGGATTCCGATTCGCGCGGAAACGTAAATTAGCTAATGTCAGTGTGTCCTGTAGTCAGCGTTAACGTCTTTTTATTTTTTAGTACTTACAAGTGTAAGGTACGTTTATTAATTCTTACAAATGACCACCAAATTTCGAGGGTGTTTTAAAAATAGAAATATTCCCAAAAAAAGGGACGTGTGAACTGCGCTGTTAGGGTAGAAACATAGTGAAGTAGTTCATCTCGCCGCGCCGCTCGCCGTTCACCTCGCCGTACGGCGAGGAAGAAACAAATTCGCATAATTAAATGATATTGCACATAGTGGAGCAAAGCGCGTCGCCGTTCACCTCGCCGCTATTCTTGAAACAAAATGATTTGTTTTTTCTGGATGCAGTTGCTCGAAACTAGCTCTATGATTGGTTATTTGAAAGCCGTTTACATTTGCCTTTTCAGAATAGCATTCGCATAGCAGCAGTATTAAAACGGCCGTTAATAAGAAGGCATAAAAATCGTACTGCGCATCGCTTCGCCCGGTACATTCAATAGCAATTGCCGTAACTTTTACGTTTAATTTAATTTTAACCGCGATCGTCATCGTACTGTATCATATATACTTTGAAATGGTCAATAAGGAGCAACTAATCGGGGAAATATTCCAAAGACCGGCAATATGGGACCAGCGACACAAATGTCACCATAATAGATACGTCTTAGAGAAGAGTTGGGGGGAGGTGTCTGCAAACTGTGGTATTTCAGGTAAGCAAATAAATGGAACTTGTTTTATTCATACTTTCTTACGTACGAGTAGTAACATATCAGAACATTCTTTTCAAAAAAATTACGTATAACATTGAAGTCAAATACAGGGTGATCCGGTACTGAGCCGACCATATGTTCTAGGGGGTATTAAGACAAAATATTTTTATACTTATAAACTATAGACGAATTTCTCAAACATCGAAGGAACTTTATGAATAGTCCACAGCATTTTCGATCATAATGTCTACTAGAATATACATATATGGTAATGGTGTAAGTCTGCGGTTCCGAAACACTCCAAAACAAGTATATAGAACAATATCATTTGATTCATTGAACACCTCTTTCTGTAGCAAAATAGTCTGTGAACACATTTCTCACTGAAATAGCTTCTCCCGTTGAAGGATTGTTTCTCCTACCTGCTGTACATTTAACAGAACATTGGCAGTAAGTTCATTGTCTGTAGCAGCATTTATCACGCGTTCTCTGTCAATTATAGTATTATGGAGAATACAAACTGCTTTAATAATTGCATCGGCAGTGTCTGGGTGGGTTTCGATGGCTTTGGTTAGTATTCTCCACTTCATTGTTGCAATGCCAAAACTACATTCAACTGTTTTACGCGCTCTAGATAGTTTTTTGTTAAATAGTTCATTTTTTTCACTTAACCTTCCTCCCCACGGGTGTAAAACAATACGTTTCTCCACAGCGAGGTACCCGGGTACCACAACGCATCTACAAGGATACGTGTAGGTATATTAGGTACATCGGTGCCGTAGAATGATGCGCAAAGGATACATTTTATGGTATGCATTCGAATTTGCAATTTGGTTCAGTTCGGTGTAAGAAATAGCGGTGATTAGTTGTTGTTGTGCAAAGGATTGCGATAATGTCGGACAAAGTAAGAGATATTTCATCTGCAGACTTTAGACGGTAAGATTTTACATTTTTATTATGAGTAGGATACATTCTTTGTGCGATGTACCATGCACTTATTCTGTTGTTTATTTATAGCTTGACTTATGAGCAACAAATGGCTTATATGAAAAGGTTGCATGAGGAATGTGATAGTGATGAAAATAATGACAATCCTGAAATAATCGCAGATGATCCCGAGTTGTCTGATGACGAACCAGCCTTGAGATCCGATCTTCTACAAGTAGACGATTCAGATATAGAGGATGTTTACGCTGACCCCGATATTGAAGTCGAAATTGATGATGATGACGAATCTAGCGATGAAAATAGTGATGGAGAATCTGATTCCGATGATCGTGTATTACGCGCTAAAGATGGCACTTTGTGGAAACTTACATCTCCTTCCGCTCATCAAACTCCTACACAAAATATTCTTCGTCAGAGAAGTGGAACATCAAGAACCACAAAAAATCTTTCTGTGAGCGATACATTCAGATGCATTTTCAACCAAGTGATGTGCAATATTGTTATCAAAGAGACAAATCGAAAGGCTAATGAGGTATACTCTAAATGGAATATTTCAAATCCGGAGAAGCCACAGAAAATCTGGAAGCCGCTTACAGAAGAAGAGTTTGATGGTTATTTAGGTATCTTGATTACAGCGGGTGTTCGTCACTCTAGCTCTGAAGATGTCAAAGAGCTTTGGAGAATGGATGCCTACCCATTATATCGTGCTACAATGGCAATCAACAGATTTTGGGCCATAACAAGATTTCTAAGATTTGACAATGCCAATACAAGGCCGCAACGGCTGGAGAGCGACAAGGCAGCTGCTATCACAGAACTGTGGCTTTTATTGAATAACAACTTGAGAGCACACTACGTACCATCGGAATGCCTTACGGTCGATGAACAGTTATTCCCTTATCGAGGAAGAACAAGATTTACACAGTACATGCCCGCAAAACCGGCAAAGTACGGTATAAAGATTTGGTGGGTGTGTGACTCGTTGAACTCCTATCCGCTCACTGGACAAATATATACAGGAAAATCACCTAAAGGTCGTGAACAAAACCAGGGAGAGCGGGTAGTAAAAGACCTATGTTACAGGTATAAAAACACTGGTAGAAATATTGTAGTGGACAACTTTTTCACCACACTTCCGCTGGCACGGCTCTTGTTGTCATGGGGACTCTCTATAGTTGGAACGCTGAAAAAAAAACAAGCCATACATTCCATCTCAGATGTTAGCACATAAATCAAGACCTACGGCTTCATCCCTTTTTGGATTCAGCGATGACAAGATTACGATGGTATCTTATGTGCCGAAACCGAAAAAAGCTGTTATATTATTGTCCACCATGCACCATACCACAGATGTGAGTGGTCCGAAGAGGAAGCCAGAAATTATAGAGTACTATAACTCTGGAAAAGGTGGCGTTGATTGCATGGACAAGATGGTTTCGCACTACTCCATCAAACGAAAAACTCGTCGTTGGCCTGTAGCTATGTTCTATAATATGCTGGATATCGCTTGCTTGGCATCATTTATTATCTATATGCAGAACAATCCGATGGAGTCAAGAAAAAACGAACGCCGGCGAATTTTTTTGCAGACTTTAGGGAAACATTTAGCAATGCCCACAATCGAGAGCCGTACGAAGAATCCAAGGATGTGTCAGAATTTTAGCACCAAGTCCGGAATTGAATGCATGCTGGGTAGAGCACTTGTCAATCCTGCCATCTCTGAAGAGGAAGAAAAGCCAAGGGATGCATCTGGTCGTTTGGTTGTTACAGGAAGATGCCATATTTGCAGGTCTTCTGAGAAAAAGCAAAGAAAGACCCGAAAATTATGTTTCGCTTGTAAGCGTCCAATGTGTGCCGTACATACAAAAACCATTACGAAATGCCACTCTTGTGCTCTGTAGCAGTATGTGTTCTATAAATATAATGTTCATTTTTAGAAAATAAAATTAATTTGTTTATAATTTATGGTTATTTATTCTTAATTTTCCGTTGTGCATCAAGGTATTCCATATATTAGGTCCACAATTTACGTTTAGTAAGTAAATTATATAGTGGTACCGGGGTACCTCGCCATAGATATTATGTGCAAAATACTTTAAAAAAATATATTTTGAAAATTTGAAGATTTTTTATAGCTTTTTTTTATGTTCTAGGTTGACATAAAGGAGATTAACGATGTCAAATAACCTTGGCCTAAAATATTAATTGTAACATAAATAATGCTTAACCTGAATACAGAAATGGTACCCGGGTACCACGTCGCGGGGAAGAAGGTTAAGTTGCTTCTTGGAAATGGTCTCATCAAGTTTTTCATTAAGGGGTATGCTTCATCCCCTATAAAAACATAAGGTGCACTGATATTGGTGTTTGGTAAAAATTCATTGGCGGGAATGTTCAACTTGTTACTACTCACATTAATTTGTACACGTTTGAACTTCGAAATGTTCCCCCATCGCTTTGTTTGCCGTATGAACCTACTTCAATAAAAATGAATTTACAATTTGCGTCACTAACAGCTTGAAGTACAATCGAAAAGTATTGTTTATAATTATAAAATATTGACCCTGAATGTTTTGGACACTTTATTCAAATGTGCTTCCCGTCAATAGCGCCCAAGCAGTGCGGAAAGTTCCATCTGTGGTAATATTCACTGGCTATTTCTTTGAATTTTTCTTCTGTAGGGAGCACCATATGTAGTGGTTGCAATACTTCCCACAATAAGCGAGTGATTTCTGGTACGATTACCGCTACGGTAGGTGCTCCTAAACGGAAAGAAAAGGCCAAACTCTTGAAAGAGCTCCCCGTAGCTAGGTATCTGTAAAGAACCAAAATGTTTTCTTTTAATTAATTTCTATATTCCGTTTGTACTACAGTGTTTTATGATAATTAATTATAAATTAACTGACAGTAATGCGCTTGTTCTAGCTGCAGTAGCCAAAAAAAATTGGAAAGTGTTGCGACAGCAATTTAAAGTACATTTCGACAAACTACTTGCGCGGAGATCCGGAGATCCTGCACCCGAACCAGAGGAAACGGTGGACTGGCCATATTTCAAATTATTGCTCTTCCTTAAGGATATTTTTACACAACGTTCATCAAGTGGAAATCTGGAGGGTAATGAGGGAGAAGATACTCAAGGGACTGAGACTCAAAATACTCAAAGCGAGGGTGGAGAGGATGATGATTGTGAATCCAATAGTGAAAATATATCACCTCCTAATACCCCAACATCTTCAACACTTTCCAACAACCCCTTCACAAGGGGACTCCCTAGGGTATAGAAAAAGACCAGCCCCAATGGAAGCAATAGGAAGAGGGTTGCTAGAAATCGAAAAAGAAAAATTAAAACTAAGAAAAGGCAAAGAAATGGCAGTGAATAAGAAAGATAACGATGATGTGGCTTTTTTTACTTCCTTACTACCGCATGTGAAACAATTATCCCCTCAGGAGAAGTTAGGATTCCGCATTAAGGTGCAACAATTGCTATAGGAAACGTTGTATGGCCTTCAAACAATACCGAGCAATTCATATTCATCTAGGGCACCTTCATCATATGCACCATATAAGGTACTTGTACGTTTTAACGACCTCCAAAAACATGTAAAGGGAATTATGGATAAAATAAGAAATTTAGAGGGTTAAACTTGTTGTTATGGATGGTATTGCATCTAAATTTCCTACAAGTAACTCATAAAAATGATTTACTAACGTTATTTTATTTGTTACAACTTAAAAAATATTTTTTTATTATGAGTTAGCGTGTTTGTGACAGAGAACATTATTCCGACCAGTCTTTACCAACTACCCTATCACCGACCTCACTCGTCCCGATTACCGACCGCAACTTGATGCTCTTTAAATAAATAGGTAAGTATGATTAAAAAAAGGTTCAATTAGTTCAAAACGTTTATTTATAATTCTTGAATTGCTATACTATTTATTGCCTTAAAGAGGTACGAATCATGTCCACTTCTGGTACGGAATAGATTCCTCTTTTATTTAAAGGGACAGGAGGATTAATAGTGGACACTATATCACTTTCACTATATTCTAAAATATCGTCTCTTTCCGGCCACTTCCAATGTTTTCCGCTCATGGCCATTGTTTTTACAGTTGCTCCTTCTTCATTTTTTTTTATTATTAAACCAGGAAAAAGTTCCTGCTCATATGTAACGATAACGTAACAACCCTCGTCATATTCGCGATTTCTCTCACTTTTGTTGAGGGTCTTGGAAGCATTTCCTTTTCTCTTTATAGTTCTTTCCGCTTTAGCCGTCTCTTTCCTTTTCTTCTCCGCGTCAATTCTTCTTTGATATTCAATGAATTCTTCAGATGTCGCAACAGTTGGAGTTAATTTCTTAATATGTGTTTTTTTACCGGTTCCTTTCTTTACTTCCCCAGGCCAGAAGAGAGATTTCTTGAAAGGTGTAGGAATACCTTTTAAAGGTGTTGGAATGAGAGGACTTTCGTTTTCTTTATTATTAGAAATGTTATTAATTTGTTTCTCTGTTTGATGTGGCAATGGAGTAGCATCGTTGATGGTTGATGTGTAAAAACGAGCAACATCTATGTTCAAACCCTTCGACGATGTCCCTTCTCGATTACTTCGATTTTCTGTTGCAGACGATGATCGTTTCACTTTCTTACTATTACTACTATTGCTTTCAATGGGTGTTTGGTTAGGTGGTGTACAATGGGATGGTAAGTAATTGTTTACATTCATTCCGTTGCTATCTTCCAAGTTGCACGCCGAGATATTCATTGAAGAATCGCATCTTTCAATGGGCATTTGGTTAAGTGGTGTACTGTGCAATGGTGAACTAGTATTCGAAACCACTGAGTTGATAGTTGGAATACTCAGAATAGCATTTGGTTGAACTTCCAAGTCCAATAGGTCATTTTCGAGAAATAAGTCGTCATTAATTCTGATATTGTCAAGTATAACCAAGCTATCATCTGTTGTTGGCAAATTAGCGTTTAATGTATTCTCGTGAGTGTTTTCATGAGTTTCTGAACTACCACTACATTCGGCCTTAACTTTTCTCCATAGAAAAAAAAGACTCTCATCATTGATTTTACCAGTCCATGATTCTTTTGACATGCGGAATTCCATAAGGGTATATGGATCAATCCTTTTCTCTAATTCTAACAAAATACTTGGTGATATTCTTGAAGTTTCAGTATGAATGTCATTGTCACGTGCGGAAACTGTGGAAGTCTCTTTTGAATGTTGACGTCCAACTTGATCTATTAGTTTGGAAAAGTCAAAATAGTCAAGTGAAAATGGATAAAAGCCACAAGTTCTAAATCCATTTTGAATTGTATTCCCTGTTAGAACTTCTGATATACAGATCTCCATTTGCGAAGAAAAATCCTCACGCTTTAATTTTTGACCGTTATGACTTAATCTCCACTTCTGCACTTGATTTTTCCACGCTACCTTTAGTGGCCGAAAAACTGCAACATCCAAAGGTTGGAGGCGATGAGTTGAATTGGGCAATAAAGCTGTCAAAATGATTCCTTTAGCTTTACAAAACTCTGATAGATGCAGGGTCAAATGGGAAGAATGTCCATCCAAGAATAAAACTACTGGCATTGGTATCTCGAATTTCATTAGCCATGGATGGAATACGTTGGTTATGTACTCATAAAAGTTCTCCCCCGTCATCCAACCAGAGTCTGATCTACCAATTGCCCAATTTTTGGGCATATTATAATATATATTTGGAGGCACCCTTTTGTAGGGCATTAAGACTAAAGGAGGTTGCCTATTCCCATCCGCAGATACCGTTACCAACACAGTCAAGCACTCCTTTTCGTCATTTTGAATCCTCGTGTAGACTTTTTTTGAGCCCTTTCTAACAAGGACTTGTTTTTCTTTCGGTGCCAAAAAGAACGCGCTTTCGTCACAGTTAAAAATCCTTTGTGGATCTTTGAGAACATCGTCGAAGTTATTTTCTTCGAAGTAGTTTTTCACCCGATCGAACCAGTTACGGATGGCCTGTTCTGTTATGCTGGCACGAGGTTGCGTTAGATTTTGTGATATACGGGTAGATAATTCCGTATGTCTAGCCAAGAAGCCTTCATACCAATGCCGCCCCGGCATTCCATTTTTAAATGTATTGGGCCGACCAAGACTAGCCACTAATTTTGCAACACTTTCCATTAGTTGACCTTTTGTTACTGGAAAGCCCACCCTCTCAAGGTACAAGATCCATTCCACTAAACTTTGTTCTTCTTCCGAGGAGAGAACTGTGGGAGCCCCAGGTCTTGCCCCTTCTTTATACTTGTTCTTCATTTTATCTATTAACGTTGTTTTGGGTATGTGAAACTGAGCAGATGCTCTTCTAATGCTCATTCCCTCCTTTATACTAGTCAATGCATTGAGCAATGCCTCATTGGTATAGAGTTTTCTTTTTTTGTTTGTTCCATGGTTCGTCTATGCACAAAAATAAGTTATTGTAGTTTTTTGAAATTTTTTATTAAATAAAAAAATGCCAAATATGGTTGGTATGATCTGTACGATAAAAATCATGCATTGCCCTAGTATCGACCATGTGGACGGGGTTCGATACACGAACAGAATTATTGTCCATAAATACCGACCACACTTCAAATGCAAATTATAGAAAACTGGGTTTATTAGATTAATGTCTACAGGCAATTTATTCTCCGTCAATATAATATTGTATATATAACACTAGGTAAGTAGTTGTTCTGTCTAATTAGATTAGAAATAAATGAATATGTAAGTGCTGTGTAATGCAAGTTAGTTCATCGAAACGAGTACATTTAGTTTAACTTATGTTAGCCAACACATCGATCCTGTTATTAAAAAGGGTGGTCGGAATTACATTTTTCTGTTGATATATGTCAAACAATTTTAAATTGTTCCGCC